TTTCATTTTGGGTAAGCTGACGCATATCAAAATTTGTTTTCTGGTCACTAAAACAATTAAACTGATGTTTCCACCCTGGAATTCAATGCCACAATGACTGTAACATTCAAAGTCAGAGTCGTGCAAATCTTGCGTTGGACCCCCATGATGATCCCAAGCATCACCTGCATTCCATGCGGTAGCTTTTGGTGCGTTTGGTCGTCACATGTAACTGGAAATGTTTCTTCTGTTAGGTTCTATAGTGACTTTTTTCGTAGTCATTTGCATATTTTAGTATTATGCCCCCAAAATCAAATATCCCCTACTTTTTTTGAATAGTATATAATGGTACTTTTCAAGAGATCTGGCAATGTACATAAAATACACAGTAAATTAGAGACATGTTTAGATATTAGTTTATTCTTAGTCTTCATCAGAAGATTCAAAATCAAAGTTCATAATATGAGCGGGATAGATATCTTCTTGATAGCTAATATGCTTCAGATACCCATTCACATTGTAAATCTTCATTCCAGCCTTGTATCGCATGGTCATCTTGTTCGATCATTGGTTTTGCAGCCTGTCGCCATATTGTTTCAACACAATTGTTGCGTTTAATGTGCAGCAAGATGGTAATAAAGAAAGAAAGGTTGTTTTTTTTTCATCACAATTAAAATTCCCCCTGCCCCTGAAAATCTTTTTTCCAGCGTCATCTACTGATATAAGTCGCCTCTCACCGTAGATGGTACAAACAATTTTTTCTAAACCAGTAATTACCTCATCAGAAACAGCATTTGTCTGTCACAGCTCTTTAAAAATTGTTAGAAAGTTGGAAAAAGAAAGACCGATAGTCATTACCACTGAAAGCATGTAGGGCAAGATATTCTCAACACTTTCAGTACTAATCTTGATTGGATCAAAAAATATATCAAGATTAGTATTGAAAGTGTCGAGAATATTCTAGAACTGACAACGAACCACGAGGACACCAAATTAGCTTACCTACTCCTCTTTGCATTGCAAATTAATGGAAGCGCTGAAACAAATTGCTCGGGCGAAATAGACATCCCAATCATTTTCCTGACAGTGATCCAAGTATACACATTTTGATCGATAATGAGATGGGCAAAGGAAGAAAATATCGCAGAAGGCGACTTACATCAGTAGATTTTCTGGGTGAAAAAATAACACACCTTTCTTTATCACCACTTTGCCGTAGTGGTCTTTTGCTGCATGGCTGGAATGAAGATTTGCAATGTGAATTGTTATCTGAAGCATATCCAAAGGATATATGCGAGCTGTTGATTAGCTATCAAGAAGATATTTATCCCGCTCATGAAGACTAAGAATAAACTAATATCTAAACATGTCTCTAATTTACTGTGTATTTTATGTACATTGCCAGATCTCTTGAAAAGTACCATTTTAATTTAATATATTGAATGACGAAATAGGTAATGAATGAAAAAGCTAACGAGAAACCACTTTTAAGGTCAATTTTGAACCAATGATTTCTGTCCACAAAAACACATGTTACCCCCCCCCCCCCGCCCCCGTACCCACCCCCGTACCCACCCCACCATAACCTAATCAACCCGGCGGGTACCCACCCCGGCGTCCATCTCCACACAATGGGAATAAATTATTATAAACATATTTAGAGATGTTTCATCAAGCTCTAAGAAAATCATCATTTAAATCGACGTGAACTCAATTCCCGCCAATTTTACCGCCCCCCCCCCACCTCTATACACACACGCACACCGGCAACCACCCACTCTTATTCGCCACAAATCAAAACAGTTGTCCAGAGGCATCATAAACACTAATTTAGAGATGGGCAGTCCTGGAAATTTATGTTTTATTAATAATTATATAACATGATCAGCATTTATGTCAACATAATCACATTTCCCCCCAAGTGCAGACATTGGATCCCCCATATCTCACAAACGCCCCGTCAAACGTCTGATCACCACCCAGATTCGGAATCTACGCAAAAAACTGGTCTAGAAAACTTTGTCTCATAAATTCACAGCTCGGGTGGCGATTCCCCCCCCCCCTTCAGCCACCGGATTACTCTGGCCGCATTTGTTTCTAATTTCCTTCTTAGGACTCAACTTTAAATGAAATGAAATGAAATAGGGTTTAACGTCCTACTATTCTGCTCCAAACTGGGCTAATGAAGACGGGCATGCGCCATACTGTGTGCTGTGAGGGAAATTGTGCCCGGGCAGCGGCACTACGGCCTACTCTTACATCGAATTCCAACTGTCAAGGGATCTTTTACGTGCACGCCAATGTGCATACGGGAACTCCGTTTTCCGTCCAATCCGAACGACTAGACAGATGTCCTTGTCAGGCCCTCCGTCCTGCATCACTGACAAGGGGGAAGCACGCCGGAAAATCTGGATGAACTTTCTAGGCTAATGCAGGGATCGAACATTCGACCTCCAGGCTAGCAAGCCAGCGTCTTACCGACTTAGCAACCGTCTGAAATTCTTATTGACCACTATGCAAAATATTTTAATTTAATTTAATTCATTCATCAGGAGTATCGCCATCACGATGGAATGAGTCGTATATAGTGCCTTTTCATAAAAAAAAAAAGGCCAAAAGATGACCCCAAATAACTACCGAGCCATAGCTCTTGCCAGCTGACTGTCAAAATAGATTCAGATTTGGGAGTAAAGCAAGGGTGTGTCCTGAGTCCTACACTTTTCAACATCTATATGAATGATTTGCAATTGCATCTTGATGACCCAGAGGCTCCATGTCTTGATGACTTGAAAATCTCACATTTGCTATTTGCAGATGACCTGGTTTTATTCCCAACCCCACTGCAAGGTCTTCACAATTCTCTTAATCATCTTTATGAATTTTGTACAAAGTGGCAATTACAAGTAAATCCGAATAAATCTATGATAATGCTCTTAATAAATAAACACAATAACAATAACAAAACTAATAGAAAATACTTATGTTTTATTTTTGGCAATACAAAACATGATATTATTGTAAACTCATATATTTATCTCGGAGTCAATATAACGGACAATTCATCGTTTAAGGCTGCTCTATCTGACCTTGGCAAAAATGCTAGAAGAGTCTGGTATAGTATAAAAACAACACATGTTCCTCTAGCTACCTCCCTACAGGGCTTTAAATCAAATTAAATGAATCTGTCGTAAAACAAATTGGCTTGTATGCCTCAGATGTATGGGGCTTTCATATGGTTAGTTGTAACGGATTCAATTTATCAAAGTGCAGTCAAATAGATCACAATAAAATATCGAATAAAGTCTATAAGTCAATTTTATGGCAACCTCCACGAACCACTAATATTGATTGCATTGCAGAACCTTTCCCCTTACAATTAGATGTATATTTTCAAGGATGACACTAAAATGGCAAATTCTGATAGCAAATTATCATGGACTGTCAAATTACTTCAATATTAACCGATATAATCTCACTAAAAGTTATTTTAAATCAGCTCTCACAATTCAATTTATTTTTTACTGAATCACGCTGCTCAAATGAAAGTAAAGGTGCGAGATAAAGAACATAAAGATTCTAAAACCCTATCAGACGCAGGATATTTTAATCCATGTTATGAGTAGTTCGTTGTTGTTTTTTTTAATTCCCAGCCATGATTTTCCGGTGAAGGCGAGAGAGAGAGAGAAATGGGGTTTAACGTCCACTCGACACAAACTAGGTCATTTCGGGACTAACATATGGTTTAATTTTATTTCAATAATTCGCTTGCGCGTAGGGGTCTTTAGCAGTGGGAGGAAACCGGAGGATCCGTTTTTATATATAGGATGACCACAATGAAATGCAGAACAAGTTTGTGTCGAGTGGACGTTAAACCCCATTTCTCTCTCTCAAATCCTCTACTTAAGTCTGAGAATACTTTGTGAGCTCGGGGCCTGACCGTATAGCCATCTACATACTAACCTGGTCCAGTCCCTGGGTGTGGCCCTGATGACCCCCAAAGTGGTTTATACTCATACATTTGAGGACATCGGTCGAAACAATTTTAAATGAAAGAGTGAATCGCGCTGAGTACGAAATTGCCCATAACAGTTGATTTTGGCCCAAACTGACACCCTAAATATGGACCCCAGAGGGCATGCAAAGGGTTTAAATTCATACATTCGAGGTACCAGTTGAAACTAATTTTAAATGAAAAGAGTGTATCCCGCTGAGTACGAAATTGCCCATAACAGACGATTTTTGAAACTATTTTCCCCTTTGATTCGCCTTGAATGTGAATGTTGGGGTAATATACGGGGGCTGGCTGAAAAGTTCTAAGCCTTTCTTTGAAAGGCCCACACAAAGTCAATAGTTTTTCTACACAGTCCCCTTCGAATTGTACACACATGGCGTCATCATTACTAGGAACATGGTGACCGGCTAGTTCTTTTTTCATTTTTGGAAACGGGTCTCATCCATGGTTACAAGGGGTTAGTCCTTTCAGTTGGAGGTACTTGATGACTGCCCTATAGCCAGTTTTGTACATTTATTGTGGTTTTAATGGGTATGTTCACGAGAGGATCAGGTACGAAGATAACAATAACACTACAGGTGCAGCTCTTATGTCTATGATTCATTCAATGAGCGTACTTGTTAGTGGCAAAGGTTTGTTTCAATCTGGCCTCACAAGATCATTTTGTGCACTCAGATCATAAGTACACTTACTGTCCCACGTTCAGGTGTTGCAGTGAAACTAGGGGGACAGCGCCACACACTAGAACAGTCAGTTAATTCTATCCCGTCTCTTATGAAACTGCTTCAGGGCATATTAGCTGTAAAAATGTACCAGTGTGTGGCGCTGTCCTCCAAGTTTTTCTAACGGTTGGGATGACGTTGGTTTGTTTACTAATCATAGGCATAGGGGATCAATTTCAGTTGGGCCGGGAGCGGCGGGGGTCTGAGGCTATTTGCCCGAAATTTTCTTTGCCAATCAAGTTTTTGGAATACATCAATGATTAACTAAAACGAGTTTTCCGCTAAAGTGTGGTGGTTGCTTATTTTTAATAAATTACACAATTACATAACAATATTAGATTTACAATGTTAATAGGTTAAGCAAAAAACAACTCTGTTGTGCCCGAGAAACGGAAATAAATTGCCCGAAAAATGGACGGTTCACCGAATCTAGCGGTGGGGGAGGTGCTTGGCTCCTACGCCTATGTTACTAATGTTTCTGGAACAACTCAATACTGTTTCAATTTCCATTTCTAAAGCTTCAATATAACAATTCAATATTTCCCATTATATTTGGAATTTAAACACGCATTACAACTCAACTTTGGTCCATTTCAATCAATACTGATGTTGTTGTCTTGCCTTGAAAATATGAGATCCTACTATCCAATATTTAAAATACAATAAACATTGTCGTTATCAAACACAGGGTAAACGATAACGGCAAGAGGATACTTGTTGAAACGTTGCACAATTAAAGTTGCTAATGATTGTTATCAATAAAGTTGTGTTCGTGTTAATTCTATCACTAAATGCCTTATAAACAATATTTTATAATCATTATACGAGTGTGTTCTATGATTTCCGGGTTTATTTGTAACGAACAAAGAAAACACACCCGAAACGACAATGCGGAAGTAATTAGTAATGGCTGATTCACAAACGACAAAATAATCATTAAAATAAATTTTATAAATTTACTAAGCAGGCGTAAACGACTGTCGTTCTATTTGGACTGTTCACGTATTTAACCGAACATAACTTGATTAGAAATTGAACATAATTTTTACATTAATATGCGTGTTTTAAGGTTGCAAAGAATAGAGCCATACGTCCCTTTAAGCTTATCACCGTGCTTACATATCACATGAGGTTCTCGGTGGGTCTAGACATTCCGGTGTTCGTACTGTTATTTACTCGTTTTCCAGCGGCTGTAGGTCGTACACCAGAACAATGGTAGTGAAACATTGTTATCACTTTACATGGGTTCAGTACTTTATATTTTAAAATATTCTTGAAAGTCCATATAAGCACATTATCGATTCCAAAAGCAGATGAACGATGACTTAAAGAGTTCCATGCTGCTGGGGGTAATTTCCCTTGTGGTACGAAGATGTATGTATCGTGTGAACCTCTGTATCCCGTATCAGTACAGGTGGTTCCTGGTCTCATATCACACTTCCTTTCCACACGACCATGTCGGGTTAAAGCATACATCAACTTATTAGAAACCATGACATCTTTAGAAATTAAATCCAAACCTTTTCCCGGATAAACGTCGGCTTGATTGACCATCACAAGTCGTCCGTTCAGATAAGAAAATACGAATTCGTAAGCGGTGCTTGATAATGTTGAGTCGTTTACTTTATGGAATAATAACTTGTTTTGATTGGTTGTTACATGAGTTTGAATATATCTGATGATCTGTGGTTGGTCGTACAGAAAGTGTACATTAGAAACGTATGGATGACTTAAAGTTATTTCTAAACATTTTATATATTCAGCTAAACGCTCTTCCATCTTTTCTCGTGGATATATGGAGTAACTGGAAGAATTCATTATGACCGGGTCTGTTAACAGAGGAAACGTTATAACAACGTCGAGCAACACTAGCACGTTCCCTCCCGTTGTACTGTTGGGTAATGTTTGTGACTTGGGTACGGTTGGAAACATAGTTGATTTTTGTAGGTTAGGTACTGATTGAAACTTAAGGTAAATGAACAATAGAACAAGGGCATATGTGAGTAGAAGAAGGGATCGAAAGAATGTAGCCTGAAAAAAATAATATTAGTAAAATTATAACTTCATGTCTCATATTACTATTTCGGAAACATACACATACACATACAATGTACAAATCAAGCCTGAAATAGACACTGGAATCAATGATGGTAACTGTTTTTATTTATGTAATAATAATAATGCTTTATTACACATCTACATGGTATATACACGAGTATGGTAAAGCATACAATACAAATTACAAAACAATAATAAACATCAAAGAGGTTTCTAAAAGTATATTAAATTATATTAATAATGCTTGTAAGGTATATATTAGGTCTTACATAGCAAATGGTATTTAATGTCTATTTTTTAACATTTCATATACAAACGTTGCAACATATTGTGTACATTTGTCAGCGTTCATTATATGCATTATTGAATCATTCAAACTAGTTTTAATGTGATGGCGTAAAAACTTTTTACAAAGATGATTGAGCGGAGCAATGGAGAAGAACGTGCGTTTCATCTTCTACTCCTCCGCTAATACAACTTTGACAGGTCCTCTTATCCCTGTGGACAAAAGATTTTTTATGCCTTCCTGTGTCTATTTCAAGCTTATGTGCACCTTAAGTCTAAACTGCCTGGCGTTTTTGTTCATCTGGTAGATCCAGGTATTTCTCAATATCATAATTTGTCTTAATTTTATAATACAAATCAATTTTTTTTTTGTTAGTTTTAAGGCAATTATTTAAGTTCTTAACAGTTCACCCTTTTTCTTTTTCAATATAATTTTAAAGAACTCTTGTATATTGGGCTAACCGCACAGTGCCGGAAAAGTAACACTTACCTTGCGAACCATATTAGTCGGTCTATACAAGACTCACGAGACGTATGGTTCGTGTATGTTCGTTTCTGGACTTTATGTCCACTTCCACCAGGGGTGATATCGTAGACAAGCCGTATAGTATTCTTCCAATCTATATAAGATTACAATCTTTCTCCACTCGCGTCGTATACAGCCGTATAATAAGGTAACTAAATTATTGTATAAAACACGAGGACTGTCCTGTTATCCTAGTTAACATTGACCGTTAGATTTACGTAAAGTTTACGTCATTATAGTTAGATTTTTGTTGGCGTCCAGTACGGTCAAATTTACGTTACTTTTACGTCAGAATGCTTAAGGTTACTTTTACGTCCGAAAATGACGTAAATCTAACGTAAATTTTATGACGGGTTTCAAACCATTGTTTTCGCTTCGAATACTTTTGGATTAAATACCAGTGTATGCACATTCTAACAACTGATAAATAATTAGAATTCAGACATAATGAAAAAACATCTGTTACGGTGACTTCTTGGCGTGTCATACATGGAACTGTGGGTAAACCACTAGAAACGTCAACGTTGATTGATTAATCTATTATGACGTCATAGGGTCAAAAACCGCTTGTACGACACCTGACGCGACCTTCCAGTACAACCGGTCAGATCTTCATAGATCTGTATTTTTATCAGATTGCATTGATATTGTTATCTTGGGCTTCTGATATCCAATATTGAAGATGAATTTTAAAATTGGGCCATAAATCATGTGCCAGAATGCTTTTGAGCACCATTTTTAATCAAGCGACTAGATGAACAAGACTAAAAATATCGCACAGGAGAATACTACTGGTGTAGACTGGAAATACCAGACGCCAAAGACTCATTCAGTTTGGACTATCCGCATTGAACGTAATTCTGTTTATATATACTGTTCAAAAAAGAAACGCCCAGCCCATTTTTGATCATTTTTTTATTTGAACAGGATCGTTGTTTCCATAAATCTTACTTGATTTGATGTCATTATGTAAGGTTAAAAGAAATTCATTATTGGTTTTAAATGTACGGTCACTAATTGTGACTGGACAAACTTGTTTTCGCTTGATTGCACCAAGACACATGAGTTTAACAACTTCGCAAGCTTTCCGCATGAAACCCAAATCGGTTTCAAAATCTGTTGCACATGTAAACACTCAACGAACCAAGTGATGTCACATCTGAACGAAGACCAACTCAACAACTCTATCGGTTGGTTACAAGCAGGTGAATACCAGACAGATGTAGCCAGGCTGCTGAATCTTTCCCAGGGTACCATTTCTCGCCTTTGTGATAGGTACCGACAGCGAAATTCAACACGTGAGCGCCCAAGCTCAGGCCAAACAAGAGTGACCCCACCTGCTCTGGATCGTCACATCTGGTTACGTTATATATATATCAGGATTATTATTATTAATATTATTCATTTTATAAAAATCATGTATATTGGATTAGCCCTTATTATAGATTATTATTTTATTTATGAACGGGAAAACCATCGCATTTAAAGACCAAACCAAGTTCCTTGGCGTAATCTTTGACCGAAGGCTGACCTGGAAACCGTACATCGACTGGACTGTAGATAGATGCTCCAAAATCCTAAACGTAATGAGAAAAATAACGGGCAGCACATGGGGAGCCAATAGAGTTACATTAATGATGGTGTATCGTGCTCTAATACGCTCTGTACTAGACTAAGGCTCTTTGGCCTTCGTGAACTGCTTGACACCATTCAATACAAAGCTCTGTGTATTGCGACTGGCGTAGGGCCTGGGACTAGGAGAGAGGCATTACTACAGGAAGCCGGGGAGTTGCCCCTATCCCTAAGAAGAAAAGAACTAGCGACAAGGTATTGGGCTAAGATCTCGCAACTGGGCGAAAGATCCCCACCTTTTGTCAGTCTACAAAAGACAAGATATGTGAGAGATCCTAGAAAGAAAAGCTTCGGCCAGGGTATCAGGGAAACAATCAAGGAACGGGACTGGGGGAGCTCGTGATAAATGAACACGACCCCCCAGCGTTCGTCCCTTGTACTCTCCCTATACCACAGGTCAATCTAGATCTACTACAGAAAACCGACAAGATAAACAACCCCACTGCTGCACGTGCTTTTTCTTTAGAACACCTAGAAGACAACTGGCCGTCTGATGACTGGGACCATGTGTACACGGATGGCTCACACGCAACCCTGAAAGGGGCACCAGCTCGTTTGTAATATACCTGCCAAACGGGGAACAGGGAATAAGCAGGAAACTGCCCAATAACTGTTCGGTGTACACTCCAGAGATTGTGGCCATTCGCTACGCTATATCATGGATCTCCCATCAAAATACCAGTAAGTTCGTTATTCCAAGCGACTCTCTGAGCAGTCTGATTTCAATCCAAAATGACAACTCATTCTCAAGACCAGAAGTCATTTTGGAAATAAGGCAGCTGTACCAGAGGGTCCTAGAGAAGGGAAGCAAATTAGAGCTCGAGTGGATTCCATCACATGTCAACATTAGAGGAAACGAGGGGGCAGATCGACTCGCCATCGAAGGTCTCAGGGACACAACACCACTACAGCGCCACGGAAATCTACAGTATAGTTAGAAGACAGGTCAATTCATTCTGGGAATTAAAGCTTGTTGAACTTTACACATACAGATTCCGACTGGATGACAAGATCTACACGAAGACGGCGATCAATCACCCTAGAAGAGATATATGCAGACTTATATCGAAACTAATGGTGAAAGAGCGGCTTCGAGACTACAAACACCAAGTCATCGTCTGTGAGTGCAGAGAAGAATGTACCACCAACCATGTCCTGGTAGACTGCGAGGTTTTCAAGGAGGAGAGAAGAGAACTAGTGAGAATGATGAAGAAAAACAACATATCGTTCAACACTAAGAACCTACTCTTCCCGAAACCAGATCTGAAACTGCAAATCTTCTAACAAATCCACGACCTAATGAACACAGTTTCACTAGGTAGAATAGGGAAGTAAGAGGAGGCCACTGTTAGACGAGCTCGGCATCTAAACACTTAACTACATAGGGGATATATACTAAACTGGCAGGATAGTGGAGTAAGGGAGAGTCACGATCAGACGGACTCGGCATCTAAACACTATTCATTCAAAAATGACACCAAACCTGCAGAGTGGGATAGTGGAGTAAGGGGAGGCCACGATAAGACGGGCCTGGTATCTAAACACAAATCCCACAAAGATGACATCTACCAAACTAACAGGATAGTGGAGTAAGGGAGAGTCACGGTCAGACGGACTCGGCATCTAAACATTATTCCGCATAGAAACAAATACCAAACCAATAGAGTGTGATAGTGGAGTAAGGGGTGGCCACGATAAGACTAAACACTATTCGGCATAGAAACATATACCAAACCAATAGAGTGGGATAGTGGAGTAAGGGGAGGCCACGTTAAGACGGGTCTGGCACCTAAACGCTAAACCACAACGATGATATCTACCAATCCAGAAATGGGAGAGAACAACTATCATACAATAGGTTTCTTATTAAATAAAGGGAAGAACTTCCAATCCATGGCCGAAAATGGAAAGATTGCAAAATCATATTCTAAAAACAGGAAGCAGCTTCGGCTCTCCTATGTCTTGTCTGCGATATCACTTCTGTGGAAGCAGACGTTAAAGCACCAAGATACTACTACTACATATATGTTATCATTTGCTTGATAAAGACGAGAGTATGATCGTCGAAACGTTGCATGTTAATAAACCAGTACTTGTTATTCCATAAAATAGTGTTAGTGTGTGACTATATGACAGTGTCAAAATATCATATCACACCTAGATCTTGGAGCCCTTTCAGTAGCATGTACGCTTGATGTCTTACAGTCAATACATGCCATGAAATATTCTTTTTATACAGTTTCTTTTATAATACTTTACTCGTTTCTGTTGAGTTATTTAGCAGATGTAACCCGTGACAGAATAGGACGACTCAATGCTTAATATCATAATTTCAATTTTATTATCAACCCTTTCACAATATTTGAATGAAATCTATTTTCAGTTTCTATTCCAATTCAATAAAACCTTTAATACATGTCTTGACTTTATTCATTCTTTACAATTTATGACGTTATTCGTGTATTTTAAATAATACAATTCAAAAGATCAACATATTTCGATTTTATACATTCTCTATTACATGTAGACCTAAATGTATTTTTCAAATACGTGTATAAACAGATATACTATGACCAGAGTTGCCACTATCTTTGTTATTCGACTTGAAAACCCGTCATTCACTTTGTCGATAGACTGGTCTCTTGTCATTCGTTAATTGATGAACATGTGGCTCTTTGTCATTCGTTTGTTTAATCGCTCTCATTCGCCTGGTGAACCTGTCTTCCCCGCAGTTTTCTGTCATTTATCTGTCATAAACTGCCATTCGTGTGGTGAAACCAGTCATTCGTTTTGTGAAGCTCTGTCATTCGTTTTGTGAAGCTCAGGCAGGGTAAGCTTACTCTTCCGGACACCTGTTACCACTGTTTGTCGTGTATTTTGTACACGAGGAGCAGTCCATTTGCTGATTACACTATTTTGCTTGAATACACTATTTTGCCTATAACGTTTTTTAGGACTTCGAATTCTGTCTTATGGTTTGGATTGTTCGTACATGGTTTTATTTTATCTGTCATTCGTCTGGTGAACGTCATTCATTTGTTTTTTGTCATTCGTCTGGTGAAGATGTGCCGTTCCTCTGTCATTCGTCTGGTGAACGTTTGTCATTCTGTTTGCCATTCGTCTGGCGAAGCTCTGTCATTCTCTGTCATTCTTCTGATAAACGTCTGTCATTCGTCTGATGGAGATCTTTCAATACTTTCATTCTCTCTGTAATTCGTCTGGTGAACCTGTGTCATTCTCTCTGCCATTCGTCTGGTGAACCCTGTTATTCACTTTGTCATTCGTTTGGTGAACCCGTGCCATTCTCGATTATTCGGATGAATTACAGAGGTTCATCAGATGACTGACAAAGTGAATGACAGGCGTTCACCAAACCAATAACAGATAATGATACAGATTCACCAGACGAATAACAAAAAGAATGACAGAGCTTCACAAGATGAATGACATAGGTTCACCGGACGAATGTAAGAACTTAATCACACGAATAACAGAGAATAAGACAGATTCGCAGGACGAATGACGTGAATTACAGAATTCACCGCG